ACTACGACTACCACCACCACCACTACGACCACTACCACCACCACCACTACGACTACCACCACCACCACTACGACCACTACCACCACCACCACTACGACTACCACCACCACCACTACGACCACTACCACCACCACCACCACCACCATTGCAATCACCACCTTATGACAGTTTTAATTACTATTTCTCTCAGATTATCTTCCCTTACTGTCCTTGTGTCATGTGTTTCGTTGTTTTCTCTCACAGGTCTTATCCTGTACTGTCTCCCCCTTGCAACACCTGGGTGGTTTGCGGGTGCTCTGGTGTGGTCTGCTCCTTCAGTCCTATCAAACATCTATCGTCCTTGCCTCTCCTCCTTTTTGCGTTTTTACTCGCTTGTAACACCTCTGAAGTCTTCGGCACCTATATGACTAAAAAGAATTTGTCCAAGTGCCATTAAGCGCTTACTAGAACATAAAACAAAATTCTTAGTAAAATCAAAACAATAGTCACTCGGACGTGATATTATGTGGCGGCTCAATTGCATTATAAGATCTGCTCCTACTCTTTCTGTTTTACCTACCTATTTACTTTCTTTCATCTTATATGACAAAGTATAAAGTGAAATCGTTTTGGATTGAAAATATACATATATTTACACTGATTTTTAAACATTTTAACATTTTAAAATCTAACTACTGACCCGAGCCAGTCGTACAGTAAGTAAACTGTTGTGAACAAAACTAACTTGTGTTTCGCGCGCTCATATGACCTTATGCAGTTGCGAGCGCCGTAAAACCCTGTACTAAACAGATAAGATGTCGAGAGATGCAATTGTTTGACCTGGACAAGGTGTGATACGTTTTGGATCGTAATATTGCTCCTTTGGAGAGTCTCCTTTACTCGTCGGACCATCTTTTCTTGGTCTTCGGGTTTACTGTTTTCCTAAACTGTACCAAGCGAAATACAATATATTAGTGTTCATGAGCTTATCTGTGGTAGAATGCATTCCACAATGGCAGCAAAAAACGGTAACTACAGCAGTAACAATAGCGGAAACAACAACAGCAACAACATGATGGCAACATTAACAATGACAGTGACAACCGATGGGTTTCAGGAAATAAACTTTTGCTTCGTTTTCTTTTATTCTACAGCACCGGTGACGACGACAAAACTATCAAGTGCTATGATGTTTTGGGAGATGGAGAAGTGTCTGTACCAACACATTTCTTCAAGGTAAGAAGACTTATTAAATTGGTTATCTGAATTTATATCGCCACAAATCAGATCAGATCATGACCCCGAGAAGAAACACACGTTCTGAGTTTGGAAGGCCAATAAAGAAAGAATTGATATTGATTGGGCAATCAGTATTTCGAGGCTGAAATTTTCTCTTTCATTTAGATCATCTTAACTAACAAAAGTTGTCTTTTCACATATTGTTATATTGTCTGTCATTTCGTGAACTCACCGCCCTCTTATTTGGGTCAGCGAAATATGGCCAAGTTGACAAATTCTCGACAAGGCATGCATTACATAACTTAACTGTCGTAATAAGAGTACGTGGCCAGATGATTAGGCTCGCAGACTCGAAACTGTAAGGCAGTGGGTTCGAATCCCGTCAGGGACCCGACGTTGTATCCTTGGGGAAAAGCACTTTACGTGAATTTTCCTCACTTCACCCAGGTGTGAATGGGTGCTCTGCAATAGACAGCGTAAAATCTCGTCAATACGTAAGTGTTTTAGCGTCTGTAAAATGGCAGCTTGCACTGTATGCATCTCAAGAAGTTGAGATTGTTTCAGAATGCTGTTAGGTCTACTGAGGTAATAATATAGGTTGTAAAGCGCATTGAGCTTGCTGTTGTTCAGGAATTTTGCGCTATACAAATTATTCTATCTATCTATCTATCTATCTATCTATCTATCTATCTATCTATCTATCTATCTATTACTACGCCGTTAGCTCAGTTGATATCATGCAGAGCTATGATGCTCATTTCACTGGTTCAGGTCCGCTTTGAGGAGTTCTTGAACTTGAGTGTAACTGTGCAAATATCTGTCGGGAATGGACGTTAAATTCGGATTCTCATCTTATAATATTCTTATACATCAGCAGAGGTCATTAGATTGAAACAATTGTAAATTACCGTTCATAAATAAAGGCAAAAGTCCTATTCCTCCCACACAAGCGGGTGGTTGGAGGGTGTCACTGGTGGGTTTTCCTTCTTTACTAGTCCTCTTTTGTTTGTCTGTGGCTTGCATTTCCGGTGCAATAAATGGGTCAATGGGTTTCTGGTTACCATTTGAACAGTCAGTTCTTTATTATTTATGTTTTTATTTATTCTTTAAATTAAAAAAATAAAT